AAAAAGGAGGGGGAAAAAGGGAAAAAAAAAAGAAAAAAAAAGGAGAGGAAAAAAGGAAAAAAAGTAAAAGAAAGGGAAAAAAAGAGGAAAAAAGAAAAAAAGAAAGAAAATAAGGAGAGGGAAAAAGGAAAAAAGGAAAAAGAAAGGGGAAAAAAAGAGGAAAAAAGGGAAAAAATGAAAGAAAAAAAGGAATAAATAAGAAAAGAAAGAGGGGGGAAAAAAGAAACAAAGCAAGAAAAAAGCACAAAAAAAAGCGAGAAAAAAGGAAAGAAAGAGGGGAAAAAAGGAAAAAAAAAGGAAATAAATAAAAAGGAAAAAAAAAAGGCTGCTGAAAGTAAACGGAGCTTTCATGTGAAGTGACAGAACAGCAGTCAGGGGGGGAAAAAAAAATAAATAAAATAAATTATTTATTGTCGACCCGCGGCTTCTGTTAAACCCCCGGCACTTCAAAATGATCGCGCCGGGTTTTTTTTTTGGTTTTTTTTGGTTTTTTTTATCTCGGCCGGGGTTTTGTTTTGGTTTGGATTTTGAGGGTTGAAAGAGCTGCGATAAAATTGGATACACAGGAGATAGAGAGGAATTCACAATGGAGAAACAAAAAAAATAAAATAAAAAATAAAAAAAATGCTCGAGAAAGTCGGGGAGGAGAGGAGGCTCTGCCTTTTTCACGTTTTTTTTCTCTGTTTTTTATTTTTTTGCCGTTTTTAGGGTTTTTTTCTAAGCTGTGTTTAGGGGAGGAGAAAGTTTCTGCTCGGAGGAAAAATTAGGAAAAGGTTGGAGAGGGAAAGAAAAAAAAAAGGAAGGTTTTGTTTTGTGATTTTAAGGTTTGGATTGGGGGTTTTTTTTTGGATTTTTTTGAGCTTTGAGGGAGGGAATGTTGGAAAATCCGAGTGAAGAGCAAATGGCCTCGAGAAATGTTTGTTTTTCGAGAGAAAAAGAAAATAAATTAAAAAAAAGAGGAGAAAAAAAACCCCAAAAAATTAAAATTAAAATTAAAATTAAAATTAAAATCCACCGGGTTTGGAACCGGCTCCGGATTGGGGATGAGGAAACCAAAGGAAAGAATTTTGGGATTTTTTTTTTTTTCCTAAATCCTAAAATTTGTGCTGCCAAAAGGAGGGAGGAGAGAGCAGAGCAGGCCAAGGATGATGGAAATAAATCCTTCCCTGAATTCCAGGAATTCCCGGGGAAAACATT